GTTTTAGGACAATTTAAAAGCACTGATGGTTTTATAGAAAGAAACAGTGCTGTAGTTTGATGAAGGTGTGAAAGAAAAACTGAGGGAGCCATCAAATAATTATTTAATAAGTTCCCTCATTTTTTTCTTTTTTGTTTTTTGTTGTTTGGTTTTTAACACTCTGAAAATAAAAAAAATGTCATTAGAAAGAGTAAAAAAAAAAAAAAAACATGTATAAAACAATAAGAAAGAGAGAGAGAGAGAGAGAGAGAGAGAGAGAGATGAAATTATTCATTACCAAATTATTTTTCTCTGTTGGATTTAAAAAAATTTTTTTTTCTATTTGATAAATTTAATAATTTTTAAATATGTAACAAATGATAAAATCTTTACAAATTGATTCCCTCATTTTTTTTTAAATAAGGTTAATGCCTTTTATTCAGATCACAAATAATAATAATAAAATTTTTTTTTTTTATTGCTAACCCAAATTTTAAGTTTCCCCCCTCCTTGTATTCTGCTGTATGATTTACTTCAAAAATTTTATAAAAAAAAAAAAAAAAAATTTTTATAAGAATTGAAAAAAAAATATTTTGAAATTTAAACATTGTACTTACTATCAGGAATATTTTTTGTACCTGGAGAATAAAAATATTTTTTTAAATATACCCAACAAAACCACAATTTATAAAAATGGTACCTTAATAACAATTATTATTTTTTGTATTTAAATTGAATTATAGTTGAAATTCAAATTATGAAATTAGTAACAAAAATTATCAATAAATAAATTTTAATTTGTTAAAAATATTTTTTTCATTATTTAAAATATTATAAAACAAGATTTGCTACTACTACTACTACTAATAATAATAATATTAATCCACATTGAATACATCAATGCATTACATAATATATTCAGTATATAACAAGAATAAATAATAATAATAATCTCTTGTATGAAATTCAGGTATGAATAGTTTATAAAAAGATAACAACAATTCCTGTTAAAACAAAAAGTATTATCACATTACTTCTCAATAATAAAAATTATTTATTTATTTATTATTTAAATAAATTTATTTAATTAGCATTTTCATTGTAGAAAATTATTATTATAGCTACTGTTGTAATTCATATACTTGTATATGTTTTGTAAAAAATTTTTTAAATTTGGTAGAAATAAAATAAAATAAAATAAAAATAAGTTTATGTAAATTGTAAAAAAAAAAAATTGTCTCTTGAAAGAAATTATCATTATTCAAATACACATTAAATTAATGCCTTTTGTAATTATAAAATTTAAAAAAAAATTTTATTTTATTTCAAAAAATGTAATAATATTTTTCATTTAATTTAAAAAAATTAAAAAATATATATATATAAACTTAAATAACAAATCAGAATAAAAAGGGTTAAATAATAAAAAAAAGGACAGAAAAAATTTGCAAGGTGTCATTAAAAAAAATTGGGAAAATAATTATTAAAAACTTTAAAAAACATGTCAAAAAATTATAATACTAATTAATAAATAAATATATTAAATAATAACTCACCGAGAACAAACGAAAGTTCACTAAAAATGAATATTATGACATTAAACAACCTCTTCACATTTTACTCATTGTTAATCAGCCGCACATCTAACGAAAACTGTGGATTTTACAGTAGTGACAACTTAAATTCGAGCGCCATGTTACGTAACAAGCAGCAGACTATAAATAAATAACCGCCAAAACTTTGAATTCGTTCGATTACGCGGTAAAACGGTTAGTTTTTCTTTGACGGTTCATTTTTTTAGAAATTAGTGTCGTGTAGTGCAATTATATAGTGATTAATTAGTTTGTGATGTGTTATTTATTGTGAAATTGATAAATTATTAGTTTTTCTTTAATGGCAGGACTCGAGGAAAGTTTAAAAATGGAAAAATACTTAAATAAAATGAAATCTCAGTAAGTAAATGCAAATAAGACCACTTCTATTAAGTGCACAAACATTGGTAAATATATAGTATATATATATATATATATATATATATTTTATTTATTTTTCTGCTGTACTGTTCCTGTACATTTGATATTAAAGTATGTGCATTTTATTTAAATATGTAATTATACATATATATATATACATATACACACACATACATATATTAAAAAACAGTAAATTGAATTTTACTATATATATTTTCATGTAGTCATAAAATGGCGTATGTAGACTGGATGGTTAGGATAGTTCACTACTCAAAATATATATATATATTTCTTTTCTTTTTGTAATTTATTCATAAAAGTTAGTTTATTTGTTTTTTTAAAATAATTTGTATGTTTTCAAATTAATTTAAAAAATATAATTAATAAAAGTGCTCTTTTAACAATATTCTTCTCTTCTCTTTTTTCTATGCAGCACAATTATAATTTATTATTATTATTTGCATGTAAAAGATCATTTCAGTATAAATAGAAAAAACATACTGTAATACTTTTAATGGTTAAGTTTAAATTGATTATTATTATAATTA